AAAAAAAAAAAAAAAGCTGTTTCACATAACCCACGTTTCCAGTGAAAGGTTGATGCTGAACTACTGATCTGCGCTGACTTTAAGTAGATCTGTATTTAAGTGCTGAGAAAAACTAGCATATATTTATTTGCTGTGCAGCTGAGGGCTACTTTAACTCACAGCCTCAATTTCCTCAAAATAGGATTATTACTATTTTTTTAGAGACAGGGTCTTGCTGTCTCACCCAGGCTGGATCGTGGTGGCACGATCATAACTCACTGTAACCTCAGACTCCTGGCCTCAAGGGATCCTCCCACCTTGGCCTCCTGAGTAGCTGGGATTCCAGGAGCCTGCCACCATGCCCAGCTAATTTTTCTATTTTTTTTGTGGAGACAGAATCTTTCTTTGTTGCCCAGACTGGTCTCAAAATAGGATTATTGATAACTATTTCACAGGATTTAATCCTGGTGGATCAGGGTTAAATGAGAGAAGACAAGCCAAGCGTGGTGGCTCATACGTATAATCCCAGCACCTTGGGAGGCCGAGACTAGAGGATTGCCTGAGTCCACGGGTTGGAGACCAGCCTGGGCAACATGGCGAGACCTCGTCTCTATAATAAGTCAAAAAATTAGCCGGTTGTGGTGGCGCACGTCTGTAGTTCCCGCTACTTGGAAGACCGAAGCGGAAGGATCGCCTGAACCCAGCAGGTCAGGGCTGCAGTGGCCGTGAGTGTGTCACTGCACTGCACTCCCGCCTGGGCGACAAAGTGAGGCTCCGATTCTAAAATGAATGAATGAGAGAAGACAGACCCTGTCATAGTGAAAATATTATAAATCAGCTATTATAATATGAAGATTTGAAAAAAATTACAAAGCGGAAGCTAAGTTCACTTTAGTCTTGGCTGCAGTCTCTGGTGTGTAAGAAGTTAGCGGTGCTGGCTGCTGTGATCCTGTTACTGCACTCTAGCCTGGGCAGCAGAGTGAGACCCTGACTCAAGAAAATTGCTGATAGCTACAGAACGCTCTCAGGCATTGCGTTTGGGCAGGGCAACCCCTCCAGGTCCAGGCTACTGGAGTGGCCGAGACTCCAGTTGAGTTTCTGTCCAGGGCCTGACTCTGGCTCTTCAGTCCTGTGCCGGTAGTCAGTCTAGCTCGTCTGATTGAGTCTCTACAGTAAGTTCAATTCTTGCAGCTGCGTACATGGCATTTGGAGGGTTGGCTGCTGTTAATTTTCATGGTGAAGGTGTTAAAATTGCTAGGAGCAATTGTTCACGCCTGTGAACCCAGCACTTTGGGAGGTTGAGGTGGGAGTATCACTTGAGTCCAGGAGTTTGAGACCAGCCTGGGCAACATAGTGAGACCTCAGCTCTACAAAAAATAAAAAATAAAAAAATTAGTCAGGCATGGTGGTGCCTGCCTATAGTCCCAGCTACTTGGGAGGCTGAGGTGGAAGGATCGCCGGAGCCCAGCAGATCCAGGCTGCGGTAAGCTGTGATCGTGTCATTGCCCTCCAGCCTGGGCGGCAGAGTGAGATCCTGACTCAAAAAAACTGCTGATAGCTACAGAATTCTACTGCAAGTGAATCCCGCGTGGCGTGTGGCGTGCTCCTTGTGTGTACGCAACACGAGGTAAGCTGCAGGGACCTGCTCATACTTCGGGGCTCGGGTGTGCCCGGCAGCGTCTGAATGCCCCGCAGGAACTTGCCTGACACCCAGGAAGGCAGGAAGGTGACTTCAGCCCCTTTGACTGCGACTCCCTCCCTCCTTGCCTCGCTCGGATCCTTTTGAGATGATCTTAACGGAAGTGGTAACTTTTCAGCTTCTCCGCCACAATATCCAAAAAATAAAGCAAGCAGTATGCTTGACTCAGATGGGGGCTTCCATTTGGATGACTGAACAGCCAGGGGGTCACTGTGACGTGTGGCGCGTGAGGGAGCGTGCTGTGTGTGTGTGTGTGGGGGGACAGGGCAAAACGGCCACCAGCGTGGGTGGGCGGGACACGCGTCTGGGAGTTTCCAGACACCTCCAGCCAGCACGTCCCTTTTGATGCCGAGTGTCCTCGAGTTCCAGTGGGGAAAACATGGCAGGAAGTCCCTCGGTGCTGCTTTCTGTCTCTCTCGCGGGGTCCCCGCGCCCTCTCTGGCTTTGTCATAGGCCATAGGCATAAGCAGGAACAAAGTGTGACCTCCCGGCTCGCAAGGTGCTTCACTCACAAGCCTACGATTGGAGGTCTTGAGTCGCCGCTTATTCCTGTAGCCTGTGTGTGCGGTCAGGCATCACGCCAGGGACCCATCCTGAGAATCGCGCCATGGGGCAGTTCGCTGTCGTGTGGCATCACAGGGTGACTCCCACGAGCCCATGGGCGCGGCCTGCTGCACACCTTGGCTGGATGGGGCTGACCCCACATGACGGCTCTGAGGGTGTGGGCGGCTGGCACAGCGGTGGGGGTGTGTGTGAGAACATGGGAGCCACGGGAGATGGGGATTCTTCGGTGCCGTCCGAGTCCACTGTCGGCCGAAATGCCGTCGTGCGGAGCCTGACCGGGTGTGCGTTTGGCTGTGAGTTGTGCAGGCTGGGAGCCGTGCTCCGGGGCTCCCTCTCTCAGTAGAACACCTGGAAGTGACCCGTCACCTGTGACTGTTCCAGCTCTGAGACGACACCTTCCTCGCGGCTTACCAGGAAGAGTGGGTCGTTTGCACACGGCCCCACATAGCGCTGCTTGCGCACAACACGCTGCCACAAGGGCCCACTGGACGTGTCCTCCTGCCCTGTCTCCCTCTTCGCTCTGCCTTCCTGCTGTCCTCTTCCTCCCCGGGGCTGGCCCTGCGGCCTCCTTCTGTGGCCTCCTTCTGGCTCCTGCAGGGCCCGCTCCCACCTGGGCCTGCTCTCTCCTGGGTGTCTGTGCTGCTGGCTTCCTGGTTTGACTCACGCTTCTGCTCGGTATCCCCTCACCTAGGATCTTCCCCAGCATCCCGTCCAGGGCACACCCTCTCCCTCCTGGCTCTGTCCCCTCAGCACCGAGCTGGCACACACCCACTGTCTGTCCTCCCATGAGGCCGAGTCCCAGACCTCGTCCTGCTTCCCGTGGCCTCTTGGCTCCGGTGGTCGGCGTCGGCTGGGCGAGCCGCCCCACGGGGGTGGCTGCGGGTGGGCGGGCGGCTGACTGTGTCTCCTGCAGGGCCCGGCGTGGCACGGCGGCCGTTCGGGGCCACGTTTGTGTGGAGCAGCATCGTGGGCGCCCTCCGTGCACAGGTGGAGGTGAAGAGGCGGCGGCACGGCCTGTGGCGGCATGACAGCTGCTTCGTGGGTTCGGAGGCTGTGGACGTGGTCTCCGCGCACCTCGTGCAGAACAAGTACTTCGGCGACGCGGACATTCCTCGGGCCAAGGTGGTGAGGGTGTGCCAGGCGCTGATGGACCGCAAGGTGTTCGAGGCGGTGCCCACCAGAGTCTTCGGGAGGGACAGGAAGGCGACCTTCGAGGACAGCAGCTACAGCCTCTACCGGTTCATGGCGACACCCGGCCCGGACGACCGCCTGTGTCCCGCCCCCAGGTCAGCAGGCCACAGTGGGTTGTGGCGCGGGGTATTGGCAGCACGTTGGCTACTTTTTAATGAGATGCCCACTGGCTTTCTACTTTTTTTTGAGTCAGAGTCTCACCTTCGCCCGGCTGGAGTGCAGGTCACGCTCATGGCCACCGCAGCCTCGACCTGCTGGGTTCTGGCAATCCTTCTGCCTCAGCTGTCCAAGTAGCCTGGACTACAGGTGAACGCCACCACGCCTGGCTAATTTTTTGATTTATTGTAGAAACGAGGTCTTGCCAAGTTGCCCGGGCTGATCTCGAACCCCTGAGCTCAGGCAGTCCTCTCGCCTCCACCTCCCTAAGTGCTGGGATGACAGGTGTGAGCCACTGTGACCGGCTCTGCTGTTTTTTATCTCACCTCTTCCACATGGGCAAAACGTTCCCCACGGAGGACTTGTTTCATCTGAGGAAACAAAAAGTTGCTTGGGAGAGATCTGGTGGGTAAAGAGGGTGGGGCACAGGGGCCGGGCCGTTTTTGGTCAAAGACTGCTGAACATGCAGCGCAGTGTGGGCAGGTGTGCTTGTCGATCACCCATCATGAAATGGGCAAACATATTGGAAGAATCTCCAAAAAACTTAACTGAAGCCAAACACAGCCTCTCACTGCAGCGCGAACTGGTCCATGGAGGCCGATGGGTTCCTAGAAGGGCCCGAAAGATAATTGCAATTTTGGGGGGGTCTCTTCGTATCTAAAACCTGATACCACGTGCCTCTCTCTCTGTGGGAAGGGGCTGTGAGGATGGGGGAACCCGGCTCCTTTATGGGTATGGTTCCACACACTCTATCTGAAACCCAGGAGACGGGTGCATTTAGAATGAGGAACTTCTGAGATTTTGAAAGGCTGTATGTGTTGTTTGACGCCCCTAGAGGGGTGAAAAACAGCATCTGGCAATCTAGTATGTTGATATTTCTGTGGAGAACAAAAGAATCTCCGTGGTAACTGGGGCCACTGAGGCTGCCATCATCTTAGGACAGACGTTGTCACTTTATGTGCACTGAATAAATGGTTTTCAAAGCTTTTTGCATTTCAGAATTGCAGGTGAAGGATCTGTATTTGTAGACTAGTGATCTGCACAGTCCACCAAAGAGTGCCCAGAGCTAGGGGTAGCTGATAAAAACCGTAAATTGGATTATTTGATTACATTTTTAAACTGGTGGCTGATATTTTTAGTCATTGAATTACTGAGACCTGAATAAATGTTTAAAAGAGAATTGAGAGAGTGTATACTTAGGCTTGAGGAAGAAGGTGAGGTATTTTTATATCTTATTCCACTCTTAAAATGTGTGTTTGCTGGCTGGGTGTGGTGGTTCACTCCTGTAATCCCAGCACTTTGGGAGGTTGAGGTGGGAGGATCTCTTGAGGCCAGGAGTTGAAAACCAGCCTGGGCAACGTAGTGAGACCCTGTCTCTATTTAAAAAAATAAAATAAAAGCTGGGCATAGTGGCTCACACCTGTAATCCCAGCACTTTGTAAAGCAGAGGCGAGAAGATTGCCTGAGCCCAGGGTTTGAGACCAGCCTGGGCAACTTGGCCAGACTTCATCTCTCCAGTAAATAAAAAAATTAGCTGGACGTGGTGGCACCCGCCTGTGGTTCCAGCTGCTAGGGAGGCTTAGGCGGAGGGATGGCCTAAGCCCAGCAGGTCGAGGCTGCGGTGGCCATGAACGTGCCACTGCACTTTAGCCTGAACAGCACAGTGAGACTCTGACTCAAAAAAATAAAAAAGAATTTGCCTTTGTGTGTTTGCTCTGAGATACTATGTAAACGCTCTGGCAACTCAGCTCCCGCACACTACCGCATTTCTGTGGGCTTGCTAATAAACGTTAACGTCTTAAACACATTCATCCAGGTACGTGGATGTGCTGTCTGCGTCATCGGACGACAGGTCGGCCCGTCTGGAAGACTTGTGGGAGAGTCTGAGCCTGGCGCCCTGCAGCCCGCCGCACATCAGCGCCCCGGCAAGCCTGTCTCCCCAGGGTGAGTGCGGGCGGTGCAGCGAGGCGAGGATGGCCTTCCAGGGAAGCTGTCCAGAAAGGTCCCGCTTAACCCTTACGAGAGCTTGAGTATTCACAGGGCAGAGACAGGGCACACGATGGCTAAAGCGGTTTCTGCGAAGCCTTAACAGAAGCCTCTTCTCGCCCACAGACAGACCTGTTAGGGCCCGAGATGATTTATTTGCATGCAGGTTTTTATTTGAGTGTGTGCTCAGATGCTGCTTTCCCTGAGATGTCATTAGATTCAGTAGCAGCTGAGAGTGACATTACAGCGTGGCCTGCGTTCTTCCGGCCTTCCTGGCCCGCGCCCTGGAATGTCGCTTAGTGACTTGGACTTCCACCCTCTGTCCCTGTCCCAGTCCCTGGTGGGGGAATCTCTGTGTGCGGGTGGAGCCGCCGGGCAGGCGTTCCAAGCCGGCCTGGCCTGGCTGAATCACTCTTTCTTCCTTGGCCCTGATTAACATGCGACATGACTTGGAGCCTTATCTCTGGCCCAGCTTTTTGCATACGAAGAATGAAAGGCATTCCCGTGGCCAAGTCGGTCCTCCCACGCGCTGAACAAATCTCCGGATTGTTGTGCTTTGTCAGCGTCCTCTGGCTGGCTTTTTCTCCCTTCCTTTTCTGGCTGCAGGTGTGTCAGCGCGGGCCTGCCTAGACGAGGGCTGGGGTGTGCGGTCCGGTGGGCACTCACTCCCACTTGTCCCCGTGCAGTTGTTGGCGAAGTGTGGCGGGAGGAGGCCCTCGGGCGGCTCCTGCAACTCATCGACCTCCCGCTACTCGACTCCCTGCTCCGGCAGCAAGAGCTCATCGCCAGAGGCCCTGCGTCCCAGCGGCAGCCCGACACGGTCAGCAGCGTCTACCTGGACCGAGGCGTCCTCAAGGCGTACAGCGACTCTCAGTAGGTGGCAGCGCCTGTCACTGAGTGTGCCCCCAACAAGGGCGGAGTCCTGGCTGTGGGTCATCTTTGGAATTCTTTCCAAAGGATCAGGTACACCGCGTCCGCTGATGTTGTTGGCACCCAAGCACAGGAAGGACAAAATGACATGAGTCACAATTTTTTCTTGAGGTGGACTCTCACTGTCGCTCCCGGCCACCACAGCCTCGACCTGCCCGACTCCAGCGATCCTTCCACCTCAGCCTGCCAAGCAGCTGGAACTACAGACATGTACCACCATGCCCAGCTAATTTTTTTTTTTTGAGTTGGAGTCTCACTCCATCGCCCGGACTGGAGTGCAGTGGCCGCTCCTGGCCACCACAGCCTCGCCTGCTGGACTCCGACGATCCTTCCGCCTCAGCCTTCCGAGTAGCTGGAACTACAGGCTCGCGCTACCACGCCCG